AACTATATTCTTCCTAAGTATTTCCTACTTTTAGGTAACTTGTTTAAGGAAACACCCACTCTCTCAAGCCACAGATATGATGGGTTGCTTCTGCTCTGAGGGGATAAACTCCCCCTAGGAACTGTTCATTGGTAGCTGGTTAACAGATTCCCAAAGAATTCTCATCCTGTGGTTTACATAGCACTTGACACTGTATCATAATAACTTCACAACAGCTCACAGAAGTAATTTTTCTCTTTTGCTTATGAGGAAATTAAACTCAAGGTGCTTTCCTGGCTCTAATTTGTTGGGCAGAAGAGCTATGACTTGCATGGAAATGTTCTTGTTCTACGGTTAGCGTTCGGTAGACCACGTCTGTCTCCTCAAGTAAGCTGCTATAGGATCAAGTCTGGGCCAAAGCTGAGAGCCCAGACTGAGTTGATTATTGCCCCCGCTGCTCTCTAGAAGTGGGATAAAAGCTGATGCACTGATGTGGGACGAAAGCTGTCAACACTGAGGATATACCTATAATTTCTTGGACACCCACCCTCCTCCCATGGGCTAAAGTGTCACATCTTTCAGATAAAATTGAGCATCTCTGGGAGTTACCATGTGCTTCAGGGCCCATGGTGGCCAGAGGCGAGAGAGGGACACAGTATATGCACAATATAAGCCCTGTCTTTAGTCATTGCTAATTCACATCATTAGCATTAGTTGCATTAGTCCAAAGTCTATAGCATTGGGCTGCAAATGCCATCAGGGTTGCAAACGTATTCTCATCTGCTTAAGATTTCCTATAGTCTAACATAGCACCTGGGACACAGTAACTATATTTGCTGAAAAAACAAATGAACTATTTGGGCCCCAAAATAGAATAATATTTAAATATTTAATATTCTAGAATGCCATATATTATAAAAACATAGGGACCAAAAAAATCTGTACCAGAAAAAGACACTAGAAAGTCTCCTCTTAAATATTTTGATATTTGGATTCAAAAAGGTATCTTACAAATTCACAAAATCTAGAGATTCTGCTCCTTAACTCGGAAAGGTCTATGTCAAGTCATATCAGATTAAATCTAGGCATTGTCTGTTATGTAAGACAGAGTGAAAAAAATATTCTCAGGTTTCCACATGGCTTATCAAGGGTTTCAAAAATAAGAATCAAGGTGAAAACAATGTACTATATATTTCAAAACTGCTAAAAGAATAAATTTTTAATGTTTTCACCACAAAAAATACGGTGAGTCAGTAAAGTGATGCATATGTATTATTTGTCAATTTAAAATAAATTAATTTTTTAAAGTACAAGAAAATAAGAGACAAAATTTTGAATTTGACAGATTTAGCAGGAATTAAAACACTGGATCAGTATATATCCATGTGTTTTAACATCAGCCTTATGTCAAGCAGTCATTTGCAAACTACATGAAACCCAAATTTTATGAGCTATCATACGAACCTCACTGAAATTATTTCTCAAATACTAACTTTAAAAAGTTAATACAGATATCAACCCTGCCTCTGATACTTAAATCTTCTAGGCCATCAAATTCATCTAATTGTGTGTGCTACCGCAGTGCACAGGTGTACTTACGAATTCTCTTACGTGGAATTTCACTCTCAAATGTCATCAAATGACTTTCACTAATTCTTTCTTAGAAAATGTGAAAAAAGGATTTCCATAGAGGTCTTTGGAGATTTCCTGTGTCCTCATGTGTGTAATAGGTTGGGTCAAGTAACAATGAAGGAAAAAGAAAGAGTGGGGATTTCATTTTATGTATTTTTCTCCTGGCCACTGAAAGGGGAAAAAGAGGGAAAAGGGAAAATTATACCATGGAGACAATGTCATCATTAAAGTAAATTATATGTTTGGCTGTAGCAGCTATAATCTTTTGATTATTGAAGAGCTTGTTGGTAATGAATTACATTTGTAAGAAATACTTTAGTTTATGTTGTATACATGTACAGACTGTGAGACAGGCATCTCATAAAATGACAGATTTAGAAATTGCCTAGCACCTAAATCTATGTGTTTCAAGCAACGACTTATAGAAATAAAAGTGATGTTGAAGCTATCACGGTACAATATTATAATCTGTCTTACATTCCCTTAGAAAAAAGTCCCATTATTTTTAAATAATCTTGTTAATTATTCAAGTATTTATTCATCCCTAAGTCATATAAATTGAAAATTTGGGGATCATGTAAGAAAAGAATTATTTTTAGAGAAGTAAGACCTTACTATCATGGCTTAAAGAGATTGTCATGAAAAAAGTTATACTACAGATAAAAATAAACCACACCGACATGAATTTTTAATGAACAAAAATTTCTACAAAGGCATTTAAAATAACTATTAATTCTAACCTTTTCTGTTATGAAATGAGACTTCAGTGTATCTGGCTGTGCTGTGTGTTTAATATGTAACTCTCTTCCTGATAGGTCCTTGACACTTACAGTCAAATCTCCACAGACCTAAATGATGATCTCAGCCTAGGGAGAGCCTATGAAGCAATAGCCAAGGTCCTGCAGAGGTAAGTTAGCACAGCCTTGTCTTGCTGTCTCTGTGAATTCACTCAACTGTGAAAGACTTAAATTGTTTGAGGTCTGTCGCTTTCCATTACTGCCCGCTTAAATTTTAAGCGGTGCCCTTCTTAAGTGACCCTTTCATCATAAGTTATTTTAAACCAGTGTGGTATTTTAAAATACATATCTCAACTCTTCTTTGTCTATCCCTCCTTTGTATTATTTTCTTCTTGGTTTTCTGTAAGTTTAGTGATGACCTTGAAGAAAAGAGAAAAAAAAATATCAGGTCATATCTCACAGGTTAAGAAAGCAAAGAGCACAGAATATATAGTACGCTTCAGTAACTGTGGTTCACCATAACCTTTCCAGATCTCTTCTTGGAGGAAAGTTTCCATTTATGCTTCAGTCATTCTTTTTGCATTAAGACATTTCCCCTTTGGGCAAATCTAGATAAGCAATTGGGTGTAAAACCAATATTCCCAATATTTCATTTGTAACAGAAAATTTTAAATGCATGAACAACTTGGGATACACATTTTTTCCATGGAAGGGATATGATTTGCCCTTCACTCATTGTGATGTGATCCTTATGTACTTGATTTAACCATTCCATTATATACTTAAGCATTATGACTTAAGCCAAGATAGAAGAACTACAAAAGTTATCAAGGGTAAGGTCTTGTTTTTTGGTATGTTGTCTTATCTCCAAGATACAGCTTTTTACTAATAATAGTAGTGGTGGTGGTGGTGATAATAGTAGTAGTAATAGATTGCATTAAGTTTTAATTTCTTCTCACTTGTATTTCAGTTGTACACACATACAAGGTCATGCTTTCCAAGGTAAAATTGTTATCTGAAAGGCGTTTGAAACATTAAATACCTAGTAAACTGAAATCACTATCATCAATGTATAAGTACTATTGCTAATGTAATAATCATTGCTTACAGTATCAATACCAATGAATTGAAAAGTACCCTACAAAATACCAAATAAAATTTGGTTATCACTGGATAAATGCATTAGAAATACAGACATTTATAAGGAGAGAATAGAAATTTTCTCAAGCCGCCCCCAATCAGCAGAAAATGATTAAATTATTTGCCTTGCTTTGTAGTAAGCAAACCTGGCCTAATCCTGCACAGTCATAGAAATGCATCATACTTCCATTGTGTCTCAACATAGCTAAAGAGAGAAAACTCCAGGGAAAAAATATTTTATCAACATTAACTGAACATTTACTAAATGTGGGGAAAGGATTGGAATGCCCCTTTGATTACTGATGGTCTGTATAATTATTTTTGAATCTTCTGAAGACATAAAGTTGTCCTCAAATAATTCTGACCTTGTATCCCCCCCACCTTGGGACTTGTATTCCTTGTCTATACCGTCAAAGCTAAGTGGAGAGCTCAGCAGTTATCTGATGAATTTTGGCAATAATGGACAATCTAATGTTTTACTTTGGCTACTTGAGTATTTTATTTGGGGTTTAAGTAGTGGGAAAGGATGCATCTATATTTGATATATCATGAAATTGAGTTTGGTTTTGGTAGGACTGGGAACAAATTTATTCCAGCATTCTCTGTAGCCCAGCACCTTGCCTCAGGGCGAACATACAGTGGAGCAAGATTTATCCTCATTGCTCTTTTATACCAAATGAAATTAATTCCGCTCATAAGAATTTCCACCTACTAAAGTACAATAAAGCTATCAACGATTTGTAGGGAAGACACGGATTCTTATTTTTATAATGTTATATAGCACACAAGAGCGTTCCAGGCTACTTTTTCTGAGGTCATAAGGATGAAGCGTCCCACGGCCGCAGCAAGCTTTCTGATCCAGATCTGCCATTTTGCAGCCCTGTTGATGGTAACAGGCGTGCCCGGGAGTGCGTGCCTCAGCAGAGTATCCCAACCTCTGTGCAAAATAATCTGAGTACACAGGCAGATGTTTCAAAACCTAAAATTCTATACAGGTAGACAAAAAGCACCCCAGATATCTGAGAAGCCTTGTTCAATCCGGTCCACTCATGGTATAAATACTTTGATATCAATTTTGTGGTCAGTTTTATAAAATTTTGCTTGATGTTCTTCTAAAAACATGCATGTGCGCGCTCCCACGCAAACACACATATATATGTATCATGCCTCTCCTCATCCTAAACCATCCTTCTCAGGTTAGCAGCAACTTGCAGGAAATGGAGCCCAGCCAAAGTGGGGGGAATTATGGAGGTGGCAGCTGAGAAATAAATCAAGTTGCATCTGAAGCTTAGCATCATCTCTAAATCTCTTTTTTCCTAACCTGTGCAATTGCACAAGTTTCACTAATGGTAGCCCTCTCTCTATAAACATATTTTATCTCTTTAAAGGAAATGGAAGAGGATAGTCATGTCTGGGATAAGTGTGTGTCTATAGCCATCAGCTAAGCATGCATGAAAGGGAATAGTCTCTAAGGCTGGGAGCTTCTAAAATGGTTATATAATAATTTATACTGAGCCTTCATTTGAAAAGCACACCACAATTCCTAAAGGCTGAGGAATTGGCAATACAGTGTTGCCCATTTGGTAACGATAGCACCAGACCTAGTGTTAAACTTACAGAAGAAGGCTTTAATAGTGAACAAGTTTTGTTATTTTTACTATTGGTCTGAATAATGTTAATTACACAAGAGTTTAAGCAGTACAAAAGAAAATAAGCATGTATAATGTTATTTTCCCCTACTTCAAATAATAGTGAAGAAAAGAATTGATACTTTAAAATGATAACAATTATCTTATGACACTACTATAAAGCCAGAATTAAGGTTCATAAAATGAAAGTGAGTTGAGAAACTGACAAGTAAAAATCCTCACTCTATAGACAGACAGTTTGAATAAATATGGAAAGGGAAAATTACTCAATTTTCTTTATGGGATATACATATATATTTGCCTCCTTTACTAAAGTAGCCCGTTTGCTGAAATGCCACAATTTTACAACGTAATCAGGCTGACTGTTCAAAAGAATCTAAAGGAAAAAGTCACAAAAGTGTGTTCAAAATGCATTGGTCACACCTAGGCCATCTCTGGGTTTATTCCATACCAATTGTAAATTTTCTTGCAAACACGAGTTAAATTATTTCCTAGAAAACTTTCCACAGTGGAGATCTTTAAATCAATCAGTAAAAAGTTTCAAGTGTGAAAATTACCTTTCTGTCACAGCTGAAAATTAATTTCTTCTTGCTTGAGAGAAATGACACGCCCTAGTAATTTTCATATTTTCTTTAAAATGGAACATCCCGGCTTTGATGCAAAATTTCCTAAAAATGGCCCCCCAAAAATACATCAAAACATTTCTATTAATTCATGAAATTAAGAATAGCTTTTTACATTTTCTCCTATCACTGATCCCATTTGCCTTATTACTTTCATCTGTGGCCCACAAACTTGGTGGCACAATCAACAAACCCCTTAGTGGCTGTTTCATCTCTGCTCTATTTGATTTCTTCTCTCTGAGTAAATGATTAAGTTTTCATGCATTGGTTCAACCAAAATCTATGTTCACTCAACCACGTCCTTTATTGATTACTTCTACTGCAAACAGTAGGCCAAGTGTGATATACATAATTGGACAGTTGTCAGGGGACGTGGGTGTTAACAGTCCTGTTTTCCCAGTTGGAAACTGGAATCACCTTGATACACAAATATTCTGCCCTGTTTCATTCTCATTCTTTGGACCGAAGAGTCCTGTTCCTCAGAATATATGTTTTTAACTCTCTAAGGTCTGGTTGAATGAATTTAATGATTATACCATATAATATGCTGTCCAAGTTGCACCTGTGCACTGCATATAGAAAACTGGAATTAATATTTGTCTAACATTGTAACCTTGTCCTTTAACTTATACAAATAATCTGTAGCCTTTCTTTGAGAAAATATTTGATATTTTCCTCTTCCCAAGAAAGGATGGTTTCTAAATATATTCTGAACTTTTAAATCTGAAGACTCTTTAACTAACATATAATATTAATATTTGAGATGCTATGTGAACAACTTTGCTGTCTATAGAATGAATGAAACATATGGTTTATAATAGAAGGATTTTTTTTTCCTCTAGCATTATTTGTTAGAGCATGCTCCAGATTAATTTTGAATGTTTTAGAGCCCTTTGGCTCCTTTAGGAGAAAAACAACTTAAATTACCCAACAACTTAAAATACCCAGTGTTTATATACTATTTTGTGCTTTTGCTTTTCCAAACTTGTTTTTTAATTTATTTGTGTATTTTGATTTAACAATCCTTAGCAGGCACAACCTAATCTGAAGTGTACTTCCATCAAAAAAAAATATTGTCTTTTGGGAGCATGATTATAAATATACTTCAGTGAGTCTATTTTAGCTAAATAATATCAATAAGTTTCCATAGGTTTTAAATGATATACAAAGAAATAACCACTTTTTTCCTGATTTTTTTTCTGCGAAAGAGATTGAAAAATTTAACAACAATCAGATAAAACATTGTTAGCCCTAGAAATCCACAAGTTTGCTCAAAATTCTACATATTACACTTTTTATTAGTATGCTTTTGAGCTCTCTTGATACATTTTAGTTCTTTCATAGAACAAAAATTTAAATAAAGCAATGGGTAAACCTTTCATTATATTTTACTGTATGCTTGTGCTTGAAAAGTTCCTAAACAGTTCATAATTTTTATAGACAATTGGCCTATGCTTAACTATGGAGCTTCATTAGTCATAATTCTGGTATGAAAAAAATGAGAAGAGAATGATAAAAAGCAATATTTACAGTTTCAGGAATGCAAAATTCCATCCTATTTTTGGTCGCTAGAGCATTATTTTAGCAATAATAATGAAAAAAGAATATTTTTGGTAGTACCTGATGCTCAAATAAATAAAAACTGCTAGTTTTTTTTATCCTGGTCCCCTCCAAAATAGACACCAGGACTTTGGGTGGCTGGTTGTTTTGCAGAACATATCTTCAAATTATAGTATTTAATGCCTTGTATGATGAAAGTTTTCCAGAAAGTAATGCTTAGCTGAATTGAATTTTCTTCTGAGCTCATGGTAGAGATCTGTGAATGTGGTAACTATTTATTTCACTAACAGATAATAACACTCAGGCCATTCATTAAACCCCTACTATGTGCCAGGCTACACATTTACACAATTTTTATTTTCACAGCAATGTGTGACTATTTTAAGAATGAAGAAACTGAACTTTC